CTGGGTTTTTATTCCAAACCACGTTTGCATCGGTCTAAACTATGGCAATGTGTTCCCAGAATGTTTCCTCTGCAGCCACCTCCCTCTCGTCCTCATCTGGAGGCCGGCTGGCTGGGGGAAGTGTGGTGTCTCCCTCCCACGGTGGGGCTGTGTGTGGTTGGGGTGGGTTTCGCGTGGAGCAGGGAGCCGGCTGGGGTCCCCGAGCCCCTCCGTCTTCGGCCTCAGTAAGTCGCTGACACAGAAGCTCGGGGCTGCCTGCTGCCGGCTGAAAGCTCCCGTCACAGGGAATTAGACGTCAAGGTGGTTTTGTGATGTGGAAACTTCTCTCCGAGGGAAGGGGAAAAGCCACAACGGGCTGGAGACTTCAGACCTTCCCGAGGACCAGGAGACGGGGAAGGCGGGCCTGAGACCTGGGATCTGGGAAGCCGGCTTCTGACAGGATGTCAGGGACGCATCCCGGGGGCGTGGCTTTCCTGTGAGATGGAGCTGCGTTCACCCACCCGCCTGCCCGCACCCTCCCGGCCACACGCGGATCTTTGTCCTCACGTAACGTCCAGGCTACACCCGTTTCTCACTAACCCGGGACCTGCGTGAAGGGCTCATGTGCGACGCTCCTTTGCGCTCCCAGGGGCGGGCCGGACGCGGGTGGGGTCGCAGCCTCAGGGTTCGGAGCAGCGCGGAGCACAGGCCACGGGGCAGCTGGGATTTTTTGGGGAGAGAACTTTAGGCCATTCCATCCTCCCTCGGGGTGACCGATGGCAGATAGCCCCCCATCACCCCGATGACCCACCGCCTTCATTGGAATTGAGATTTAATTAACTGACACTTCCTTTTTTTAAAGAGTAATGTTTCTCTTTTTTAAAATATTTTTTATTGATCCCAGAGAGGAAGGGAGAGGGAGAGAGAAAGAGAACCACCAATGATGAGAGAGACTCATGGATCGGCTGCCTCGTGCACGCCCTCTACTGGGGACTGAGCTCAAACCCAGGCATTTGGCCCGACCGGGAATGAACCGTGACTTCCTGGTTCAGAGGTCGACGTTCAGCCACTGAGCCACGCTGGCTGGGCCAGGGCTTTACTTCTCTGTGGCTGCACCAGGTCATCGCCATCGCGAAGGCGCAGAGCGTTAAGCTTGAACATCAGCACAGGCCTGTCTGATGCGGTGCGAGGTCTGAGTGAAGTAGAGGCTGTCAGGGACGGGAGAGGAGGAGGAGCCCGGGGGACACACGGAGCGGGATGTGCCAAGGCCCTGAGGCACCGAGAGTGATCGGGATCAGGAACCGAGAGGACAAACACAGGAAACAGGGCACCGGGGGCCTGGAGGCCACGGTGAGGGTGATCATGCTCACGTGGCCGTGGTAGTGAGCGGGGGTGGCCAAGCATCTCATTAGAAGAGCCGTCCATGAAAAACTGCTGTATGTTTCCATTCAAGAAAGCTCAGTGCTTCTATGATCCCCGTGTTCTATGAATAAACTGTGGCCTCGATGGTCAGTGACCTGGCCCAGGCCCCGGGGAGGGCACGCCTGCTCTGCTCACCGCTGCCCTTCTGCGTGGAAGAGGAGAGCATTTGACAGTGCGTGGCTCCGTGGCTGAGCGTCGACCTGTGAACCAAGAGGTCACGGTTCGATTCCCAGTCAGGGCACAGGCCTGGGTTGTGGGCTGCATCCCCAATAGGGGGCGTGCAGGAGGCAGCCGATCCATGATTCTCTCTCATCATGGATGTTTCTATCTCTCTTTTCCGCTCCCTTCCTCTCTGAGATCAATAAAAATATATTTTTAAAATAAATAAGTAAAGTGTTGGGTTCCCATGACATTTTATTTCCTCTCAGGAGCGACTGGGTGACCTCCTACAAGGTCATGGTGAGCAACGACAGCCACGCGTGGGTCACAGTGAGGAACGGGTCAGGGGACGTGGTGAGTCTGCCCCGGGGCCCGCGGTGCCGCTGGGGGCTCTGCAAGGTGGCGGGTTTGCCCTGGATGTGTCTCGTGTGTGCCCCGCGTGTGCCCCGTGTGTGCCCCAGATGTGTCCCGTGTGTGCCCCGGCTGTGCCCCGGGTGTGCCCCGGGTGTGCCCCGTGTGTGCCCCGTGTGTGTCCTGGGTGTACCCTGTGTGTGCTCTGGATGTGTCCTGTGTGTGCCCTGGGTATGTCCTGTGTGTGCCCTGGATGTGTCCTGTGTGTGCCCTGGGTGTGTCCTGTGTGTGCCCTGGATGTGTCTTGTGTGTGTCCTGTGTGTGCCCTGGGTGTCCCCTGGGTGTGTCCTGTGTACCCCATGTGTACCCCATGTGTGCCCCATGTGTACCCCGTGTGTGCCCCATGTGTACCCCGGGTGTGCCCTGGGTGTGCCCCGGGTGTGCCCCAGAAGTTTGCTGATTTTCTGCCAACTCAGGGCACCCACAGCTCTGATGGGTGACGCCCCCTCCGTGCCTGGAAGCACACCACCGAGTGGCCTCGTTCAGGGCTCATGTAGGGCTCAGTCTTCCAGTCACAGGTCAGCCCTGGAAGTGGGGGCCCTTGGCCACGCCCCCCAGCTGTTCATTCAGTTGTGACCGATCCCTGACTTGCTTCAATGGCCACAATCTTTCGGCCCAGAATCGGCTCCAGGGGGGCCAGTCTGACCACGTCCGCCTCTCCCTCGGGTCCGCTAGCTCCTGACTGGCATCCAGTGTCCCGCACGACCTGAGCGTGGCCTCCCTTTCCCTTCTTACCCCCCATGCACGCCCGTGTTCCCGAGAGTCAGCGGTCCCGCCCTCTGCGCCCGTCTCGGCTCCGCGCCATCACTGCTGCTTCTCTCTGGAGCCGGCCCTTCCCTGCAGCCCTGCACACTCTGCCTTCGGGCCACTCAGGGCCACTCACATGCACCGCACCCTGAGCCGCCGGGTCCTGTCCCCGGGAGCCCAGCGCTCTGAGGCTGTCCCCCTGCCGTGGCCCCAGTGGTTTCGGCGGGGACATCTCAGTCCCCCACCCCCGCCCAAGAAGGGGCTTCCTGCGGGCAGGGCCCAGCTGATCGGCTCTCCCCACCCCCCCTCGACGTCAGCACACGTGTGGAGCTCCTCAGGGAGGCCTGGGTGAGGGAGCGAGTCGTTACCCCTGACCCTCCCCCTGTGTGAGCAGGTGTTTGAGGGGAACAGTGAGAAGGAGGTCCCCGTCCTCAACGAGCTGCCGGTGCCCATGGTGGCCCGCTACCTCCGCGTCAACCCGCAGTCCTGGTTCCAGGACGGGAGCATCTGCCTGCGGCTGGAGGTCCTCGGCTGCCCGCTGCCCGGTGAGCGTGTCCCCCGCACCCCTGAGGTGCCCCCAAAGGGGAATCAAATAGACCGGGCCCGGCCGGTGTGGCTCAGGGGTTGAGCATCGACCTATGAACCGGTTCGGTTCCCAGTCAGAACACAGGCCCGGGATGCGGCTCCATCCCCAGTGGGGGGCGTGCAGGAGGCAGCCGATCCATGGTTCTCTCTCACATCGCTGTTCTCTCTCCCCCTCTCCCGCCTCTCTCCACTCCTCCTCACTCCTCCGGCCTCCCCTTTCTGCTAAGTGCTGTGTGGTTTTGTGGTTACAGAAGCAATACAGGCTTATACAGTCACAGGCAGGAAGGCACCAGAAAGTCCATTTATACGGAGGGAGTCGGTTCAAGAGCAGACAGGTCCTCTGCAGACCCCGGAACCCCAGACCCCAGAGGCGAGCACTGTCAACACCTCCTGACTATGCTATTGGGGCGCTTCCAGCCCAGCACCAGCCCCCCAGCTCCCCCTCGAGTAGCGGGTGAGGGGGCCCTTCACCGTGTGACGGGACGTCCAGGAAAACGGCTCCAGCGTTGGTTCACGCGTTCGCTCCTGGTGTTGGGGGTTCTCTCTGGCCTGTGCCTGGAGAGATTCTCCCTCCCTCCTCCGCTGTGACGTGGAAGTCCTTCCCTCCAACCTGCAGCAGTGACAGTGGCCCGGGATGCGATGCTCCGATTGGCTCAGACCCGTCACGTGGGCCCCGGGAGCTGGGGGTGTGAGGCCTGTTTCTGAGAATGGAGGTGGGGGGTCCCCAAATGACACAAGGTTTCTGTTAGGAGGGATGGCAGTGGACTGAATGCTGGGTAAGCAACCGAGAGTGTCCACCACACTTGCAAAGATCCCCATTTCTGCGTGCAGCGTGGCATTCGTTCATTAGCTCATTCATTCATTCATCCTTCGACTCATTCACCTATCCATCCATCCATCTATCCATCACACATCCATCCATCCATCCATCCACATATCCATCCATCCATCATCCATCCATCCACACATCCATCCATCCATCCATGCATCCATCTATCCATCCAACCATCCACATATCCATCCATCCATCATCCATCCATCCACCCACCCACCCATCCATCCATCCACCCGTCGGGTCCAGCCATCCACCCACCCATCCATCCACCCATCCATCCATCCACCCATCCATCCATCCACCCATCCACCCATCCACCCATCCACCCAGCCACCCATCCACCCAGCCACCCATCCATCCATCCACCCATCCACCCATCCACCCATCCACCCATCCACCCAGCCACCCATCCACCCAGCCATCCATCCACCCACCCATCCATCCAGTGCTGACAGGGTGCGAGGCACACAGGTCACGCCAACTCAGACCACAGGAAACCGCGGGGGCGGGGCCAGTACGTTTCTGTTTTCGGTGAAGAAACCAAAGCAGAGACCCGTGGGGTGTCCAGGGTCACACAGCCCATACGTGGAAGAGCAGAGACCTGAGCCCAGGCGTCCTGGCTCCAGGCCCACGCTCTCAATCACCGGGTGATTCTGACTCATAAGAAGCTTCTAGAAAGGTTCTCTCCCCTCTGTGGGAAGGTGGAGATGGGCTGTGCCCCCCACCCTTGAGTCAGGCGTCCAGCAGAGCCCCCACAGGTACCAGGAGACACCTAAGAACTCAGACCGTGTTCCTCTCTCTAGACCCAAACAACTATTACCACCGGCGCAACGAGATGACCACCACAGACGACCTGGACTTCAGGCACCACAGCTACAAGGAGATGCGCCAGGTGAGAGCCGGGGGTCAGCGCGAGAGGGACGCGCCGGGAAGAAGCACACGGGTTCTCCCCTTCGGAGACGCGGGTGACGAGCTAGGGACAGAGCCGGAATGAGCACCCGGGTTGGCGGGACCACGGATGCCGGTGGTTCCAGGTGGAGAAGGTGAGGAGGCATCAGGGGCTCCTCGCCAGCAGGTGGCGGGAATGGAATCCCACCGGATGCTCCTGACTTAATTCTCTAGCTTCTTACGCGTCTCTGTGTGCGAGGGATTCGCGGACGTAAGGGTGTGGTGGTGTGCAGTCCCAGGAGAAACAGGATCTAGGATAACTGAGAATAGTGATGGCGCGAAGCCCTCACCGTGGACCGGCGTTACCGATGGGGAAACTGAGTCACCGAGCGCGCAGAGCCCCACCCGTTGCTACTCAGAGACTCCGAGCCTCCCTCTTGGCTGCGTGTAGGATCGCCTGGGAGTTTGGAAACTAATCGATACTTGACCCCCCTCGGGCCATCGACAGCAGACGGGCCGGATGGAAACCTACCATCTCTCCTTCTGATCATAACGGACAGCCCGACCTCAGCACTGACTGAGCCCCTCGAGCTCTGGGTGCTTTTGTGCTGTTCAGAGGAAAAGGAAGCCCTGGCTGGTGGGGCTCAGTGGATAGAGCATCGGCCTGCAGACTGAAGGGTCCCAGGTTCGATTCCCGGTTAGGGCACATGCCCGGGTTGTGGGCTCAATCCCCAGTAGGGGGCGTGCAGGAGGAGCCAATCAATGATTCTCTCTCATCACTGATGTTTCTCTCTCTCTCTCCCTTCCTCTCTGAAATCAATAAAAAACAAAATATTTTTTAAAAAGAGTAAAGGGAATCCCAGAGGGGCCCCCTGCCCCCAACATAGTTACAGAGACCAAGGAATTCTGGGGTGTCGAGACCTTGGCATCCTGGGCCGAGAGGGGAGGAGGGGCCGATCATTGGGGGACAGGCTGCAGTGCGGGCAGGTGCCACTAGTGAGAAACCCTTAGAATCAAAGAATCGGTGTGAGACACAGAACAGAGAAATCAGAGAAGCCCTCACGAGTACACTTACAGGACGAGGATCCAGGAGGCCAGGCTCCCGTGGCTGAGAGCAGGGCTCCGGGGCGGGGAGGAGGGACCGCGCCCGGCCAGGCTCAGGGACCGCCACGAGGAGGAGCGGTGAGGCTGAGCCGAGGGCTGGGGGCTCCCCGGAGGCGTCAGCAGGCCGGTCTCTGCGTGGCCTCTCATGGGGACACTCACAGCTCCCGCTCCTGTCAGCGCAGACTCGGGCGGACGTGCTGGAGAGACCGTGGCCGCCGCCCTTCTCAGAAACCACTAATGAGTTTGGACTCGAGGCCGAGTCACCCGCTCTGCACTCGGGGGTCACAGGGCCCTGCCTCCGCCGGTTCCCGGGGCCTCGTGTGCCGGCTCCCCGACTCCCTGCGCCCAGGGTCTCTCTCCGAGCCCCGGAGTCAGACAGACACCAACTCGGTGCGATTACTGTCAAAAGCAACACATGGAACGTGTTTCCCACGAGCTCCCTGCGCCGCCTCGGCAGCTGGTGTCTTTACGTGGTCGTCCCACTTGCAGAAGTGGCCTCCTCTCCCACAAGAAGAGATGGGGACGCCCGGCCGCGGGGCGCAGGGGCTGAGCGCCGGCCTAGGAGCCAGGAGGTCAGGGTTCGATTCCCAGTCAGGGCACAGGCCCGGGTTGTGGGCTCCGTCCCCAGTGGGGGTCGTGCAGGAGGCAGCTGATCCCTGTCATCATTCATATTTCTCTCTCTCTCCCTGTCCCTTCCTCTCTGAGATCAATAAAAATATATGAAAACAAACAAACAAACAAAAGGGAGGAGCCACAGGAGGGAGAGGAGAGAGAGTAGAAGGCCTGCCGCCGGGAGGGACGGTGCTGAGGGTGCGAGTCCCAGGGCAGGAGAGGGACTTACCGGGGGGCGCTGTCCCGCCCGGCCCGGTGGGTGGATGGGGAGGGGCCGGAGGACGGTGCACAGACACTGGTCTCCGAGGGAGTTCATGGCTCCACCGCACGGGTCCCGCTTTAGAATCGCTCAGGCCCACGTGTCTACATGTGTGTTATGTCTCCTGCGTGTGGGACCATGAGGGCGGAGACTCTCATTCTGTCACAGCTTCCTCACGGTGCGGACTAGATAACTGTGTGCATGAAGCCGTCCCAGGGAGATACCTGGGGAAGGGGGGAAAGGGGGCCGCCCGGTCGGCCTGGGGGGTGGGCGTCGGTGGAGATGGGGCGCCATCCTCCGGCCTGGCAGGGCCTGGGCAGCAGAGGTGGGCGAGGTTGCTCTGGGCAGTGAGGCGGCTCGAGCAGAAGCGTGGAGGTCGGGCCAAGGACATGGTTCTGGAACAGCTGGGAGGGAGGCTGGCCCAAGTGCCCGGGAGGCGGCTGTGCGGAGTCTGAGCGTCAGGGGAGGTTCTGCACGCGGAGCTGGGAGGGTCAGGGTGGGGGTGGCATGGAGAGGAGCTGGCGGTGCTGGGGGGCCGGCAGAGGGGCCGAGGAGGACATTCAGGCGCGAGGACAGCACGGGGTGTGGTGTGGGGGCCGTGGGCGCCGTGGGGGCCGTGGGAGGGGGCAGGGGGCTGTCTGCTGGGAGGCCCCGCCCCTCCTCCGCAGCCGTCCCGGCTCAGGGCCTGGTCCGTCCTGTTTTCCAGTTGATGAAGGTGGTGAGTGAGATGTGCCCCAACATCACCAGGATCTACAACATCGGCAAGAGCCAGCAGGGCCTGAAGCTGTACGCCGTGGAGATCTCCGACCGGCCCGGGGAGCACGAAGTCGGTGAGGCCCCCCCGGGGGCGCACGTGGCCCGTGGGGTCAGCCCTGGCGCAGGGCAGAGCCAGCCTCCCCTTCCCACTCAGTCCGCACCTGGGTCTCTGAGCCGCCCGTCCGCCGGCTGATTGATCCTGGAAATACCCTTTCCTGACGGGGGCCGTGTGAGCCCTGCCCCCAGCTCTGAGCTGGCCCACTGGCCAGGGAGGAAACGCCTGGATGCTTAGGACAAAGTCCTTTTCCGCCAGAAACCCTGCACCCCTGCTCAGTAACGGCTCCATTAGAGGAAGCCCCTAGTTTTTTGGGTTTTTCTTTGTTTTTTTTTTTTTTTTTTTAGAGAGAGAAGAAGGGAGAGGGAGAGAGAGAAACATCATTGATCGGCTGCCTCCTGCACGCCCCCTACTGGGGATCGAGCCTGCATCCCAGGCCTGTAACCCGGGCCTGTGCCCTGACCGGGAATCGAACCCTGACCTCTTGGTTCCTGGGTTGATTAATGATCGTGCAGGAGGCAGCCGATCCATGCTTCTCTCATCATTGATGTTTCTGTCCCTCCCTCCCCTTCTGTATGAAATCAATAAAAATATATTTAGAGGAAAAAAAAAAAAGGCCAGCAGGCTGAGGTGGCCAGTGGCTGCCAGGCAGAGGGTTGCGAGCGGCGCGGTGAGCGGCTTGCACAGCTGCTGACGTGCCTGTGTCCCGCCCGGTCCAGGGGAGCCCGAGTTCCACTACATGGCGGGCGCCCACGGCAACGAGGTGCTGGGCCGAGAGCTGCTGCTGCTGCTGGTGCAGTTCCTGTGCCAGGAGTACCTGGCGGGCAACGCGCGCATCGTCCGCCTGGTGGAGGAGACCCGCGTCCACATCGTGCCCTCCCTCAACCCCGACGGCTACGAGGAGGCCTCCGAGGGGGTAAGGGCCGCCGCTCCCCGCCCGCCCGACCGCTGGCCCTGGCTGCACAGCCCACCTGGCCCCGAGTTCAAGTCCACCCATGGGCCCCGGCCGGGCAGCCCAGTCATCCGGACCCACCAAGGCCACCGGCCCCGTCCCCGGTCAGGGCGCACACAAGAATCAAGCGATGAGCACATACATGAGTGGAACAGCAAATCGCTGCCTCTCTCTCTCTCTCTCTCTCTCTCTCTCTTTCCCCTTCCTCCCGCCTCCCTCTCCCTTCCTCCCTCTTTAAGAAAAACCCCAACAGAATCAACAAATAGAAACCCCCACCAGTAGCTTCCTTGTTGAGCCTCTGCTGAGGCGGGGACACCACCAGGTCACGAAAGACTGGAACAGAGAATTTTGGGGACCCCGAGCGGGGCCCGTGCCAGCAGACAGGAGAACGCGCCCCTGCATATAGACACAGTGATGACAGAGCAGCGGCTGGCGCCTCACACAAGCCCTAGCCCAGGCCCCGGCCGGAGCATGACTCGCGATCCTCTCATCTTTCCTCGAGGAGAGTCGTTTACGATCCTGAGAGATCGGCTCTGTGTCAGGTGCTACGTGTGATGTAGAGCGTGCACAAGGCACGGGTAGGTGCAGAGTATGCGTGTGCGTTGGATTATGCAGAGAATAGAGTTGGTGTTTCCTGGGAATAAAGTGGAAACTATTCCTGAAACCACGGGACCTGCCAAATGCGGCGTCACCACGTGGAGGTTCGTTGTATTTATCGACACAGACAGGGATTTGCTGCGACGGTCGGGTGGGGATTTGTGGGCCGGACAGCGAGGCTGTTGAGTTTGCAATGACGGACTTCTATTTTCATTCATTCATCCATTCCATTCATTCAATTTTACGTTTTTAAATTTTAGAGAGAGAGAGAGAGAGGAACATTGATGTGAGAGAGAAATACCAATCGGTTGCCTCCCATACGCCCCAACCAGAGATCAGACTCACAGCCCAGGCGTGTGCCCTGACTAGGAATCGAACCCATAACCGTTTGGTGTGCGGGACAGTGAGTGCTCCAAGCAGCTGAGCCCCCGGCCGGGGCAGGATGGGCTTTTGGGTTCATTAGCGCTCAGTCTCCTCCGCCCAGCGCAGCAGCCCTCAGAGAGGCACGAGGGGAGAAGGGCGGGACTGTGCAGGAGCCCCCCCGTGGCTGTGCTGTGCACCCACAGATGTCAGCAGGGCTTCCGACGGTGGCCTGTGGGTGTGGAGAGGCTCAGAGACACCGGGTGGGGGAGCCGTCCCGCGTCCGCGCCGCCCACAGTCTGCGGCCCCTCTCCTTCTGAATTGCCTCCCAGGGCTCGGAGCTGGGGGGCTGGTCCCTGGGGCGCTGGACCCACGACGGGATTGACATCAACAACAACTTTCCCGACTTAAACTCGCCGCTCTGGGAGGCCGAGGCCCGGCAGAGCAGCCCGAGG